CACTCCTCATACTCATATTCGGAATCAGCATAGTCGATAACCTATAACCCACCAGCTTTCATTAAAAAAGCGATTTATCAGTTGGAACGGTTCCCTCGTTAGAGCGATGAACAGATAAAAATAAGGTTATTGAATAATTATAGAATAGTGTTCACAAGTCTTAAGTGGAAAGCTTGCATGAATGAATGAACGCGATCTTTTAATGCATGTTGACAGAATTTTTTATAATTGATTTAGAAGTAGCGTTTTTGAAAAGTGAACTGAGTAACATCTTTTTATCAACTGCAAACATTATCTACCGTTTCTAAGATATAGATAGTTATTTCATCGCCCTATTTTAACCCATTCGTCCCGATGAGACCCACCGGTGGGTCTCACTGTGTATTTTTCAAGACACCAAACAGGAAAGCACTTTCTCTCCTTGTTCTTAGGCTGTACCTTACACAATACGTGCTTTCTACTTTGCCATAGCTATTTTTGGATCATTTATTTTATAGCGAAATGTTTCTCGTTAAAACAATCAAGACAAAAAACTTGAATTTTGCGTCGGATTCTGGTTCTATTTCATTCCAAGTATGTGAATCTATGTCATCACCAGTACCTTCTTCATTAGAATCGTCAGGTTCAAGGTACATTGCACCAAAATCGTCATCTAGAGAACTCACTTCACCGAGTGAGCTAACGCTATCTTCTGTATCCATTTCTTCAAATGACATGTAAATTATTCCAAAACTCCGGTTGTGTTTATATACAAAACGATAGAGAGCAAAGAACAAGGGAGAAAACGCTGGAAGCTTCCTTTTTTTGCTCGTGCATACTTTGTAAAATATGGAAAAGAACGAAAAAGTAATCCGAGCGATTATTCAGTTCGGCAGAAAAAAATGACTCATTATGTAGTGATATAAAGAAGAGAACGATAAATAACCGGTAGTAGATAACGAAAAGGTCATTAAATGTATTTATTAAAAGTGAACTGTCCATGAAACTGAACATCTCGAAAAAATTTCCTAAGAAAACTGAATCGGGTTGAATGGGTTAACAAACTAATTAGCGAATATCTCTGTAATGATACAAGAAGAGCCTGTTGAGACTCAATTCTTCCCTATGCGCTACCCTTTTGAAGTTATGATCGTTACACTGAATTTTTTACCTGTGGTACAATATTTATTAAAAAAACCGGACAAATAAATTTTAGCTGAAATTTTTAGCAGATTCTAATGACTTCAAGAATTGTCTATAGGCAAAGTTTTAGATTAAAATTTGTTTATCCAGTTTTTTTTTATAAATACCATGACAAAGGTAAAAACTCAGTATAACGGCCATAATTTCAAAAAGGCAGTACATAGAGAAGAATCATTGTAAGTTTCTTCTAGTCTTAACAGACTCTACGTAATGACTGAGAACTGATAGCAAACGCCAGATTTCATCTCTGGTAATTTTCTTGTAAATAAAATCAACTTTTGCTACATCAAATTAAATGAATACTATTAATTATATAAATCTGAATAATTCATCGGATGTCTTTTTGTTTTTCCTTTTTTTTTTAGACTTGCTGAATTTCTTGGTGAAGATGTTATTAAAGATAAAGGTCTTTGTTGTCGTTTTGTTATAGCTAATGTACCACGTGATGCACCTGTTACTGAACGTGCTATTCCATTAGCTATATTTCAATCTGAACAATCTATACGTAATCATTATTTACGTAAATGGTTACATTTATCAACTGTTGATAATCTTGATATACGTGAAATTCTTGATTGGAATTATTATATTGATCGTTTTAATAGTTGTATACAAAAAATAATAACTATTCCAGCTGCATTACAAAATATTCGTAATCCAGTACCACGTGTTTCACATCCTGATTGGTTACATAAACGTTTAGTTGAAAAAAA